AAGGGAGTGAGCCAGTTCATACCTTATTGCATGTATGTCCCGTATGACCAATCAAGCATTTTTATTTGGCATTGCCGACAAGGTACCTCTAAACTACTACTTCTTCACGGTCTCAAAGCATCTTATGATGGTATTTTTTTTTCAACTTTAAATGTGTTATGTACTTTTTTAGCGTTTTGTGCCTCCAGAATTCCAAAAATCGGCAATTTTCTTGAATTAATTCCACTTTGAAGAAGACGTCTTTTTGGAGATCAACGGGTATAATATAATAGTCAAATACTTCTAATCAGCGCTATTTTCGCGTTATATATATTGATATATTTATTTTTTTCTTACTTCAGATTTAAATAAGATTGTAATCCTTCTAATCTCATTGCTTTGTGTTCCGTAATCTAGGATATTCTGATCGCTCTTCCCTTTTTATATTGTTTTTTTTAAAAATATAATACATAAAGATGAATGTAGCTGTATAATTATCCTCATCTGGTAAATATCCAGTTACTGGACAGTGTTCTCTTTTTCATCTTCATGAGGTTCACCATTATCTTGCACAGTTTAATGATCACATGGACGTTTGCAAGAATGAAGTAACTTCACCTTTCAAAATTCCATTCAAAGACAAGGATAAGAGCAAAGGTTCGCCCGCTGCGGCAACAAGGTCTCGATTTAAGGTCATGATCTACCTATTTTCTCTAAACTCATTTCCAGATCACCTTTGGCTGATCCACATGATCAACGAGAATTTTCACAACGGGATATCCAAACAATTAAAGCACGACAGAAGAAACGGTAGGGTGATAAAATCTATTTCCCTCAAAAATTGCTGCAATCTTTGAGGTTCAGATAACAACATTTTATTGTAGGCTTGCTACCGAACAAGCACAGGCGCGAGATGCTAAGAAAGCTCGAAAGTCGACTAACATTCAGAATGCTCAGGTGTGTGGCAGAGTTTTCTTTTTGCTTTCTCGCATTAGATATAAAAACATAAATTGCGGAACTTTATTAGCTGCTCCGCAAATTACGGACAGAAGTGCCAGTCTGTTTATAGGACCCGTTAGCTGTAGTGGATAGAATATGCGGTGAAATGGCAGCTTCGCAAGTCAAGCGTGATCAGCGCCGCGAGTCTGAAGAGCGCACTCGACATCTTGAAACCGACTGTGCCCTTTCTCGAGAGGCCTTGGAAAGACATGCTCAGGACGACACCATGGCTAGAGAGGTAGTTTGAACTTGATCTGACGAATTTTCCCAGTGCTTCATAGTTCAACTAATAGA